CTTTGCTTAAGCTTGTACTATTAATATTCTATTCAGTTTGTAATTTTTTGGCAGGAATATTTTTAAGCCAATTGTTCAAATTGTTAGTTGGCAACATACAAGCTGTATTATGTTACAATACACCGAAAGCCGATGAAGGAATGATGGTATTCGGGTGAACCCCTTTCCATTGTGGAATTCCCAGTTTTCCCTCAGGATAACTCCAGCTCTGTTTGTGACCTGTGACAATCTTACATATGAACCAAGTGAGGGCACCAGTGTGATTAGGTATACTAAATGTTGATAAATCTAAATTTCTTATGGAGGAGGATGAATATAAGTTTCTTTGGGAGTTCTGCCCAGCCTTCTTTAGAGACCAATGAGTTGCATCGTTCATTTGCTAACTCAAGTTGGAGATTCTGTCAAGAGTATGAACAGTCATTTAAAGGGTGTTTATGCTACCTTTAACTAAGGCCTCTCCACCTCTAAATATACCATTTCCGTATGCCATCTCAGATATCTTCTTGCCCAGTAGCTGACAAGGGCTTAAGAGAATTCAATTTTATCTCAGCAGAGGGCGTCCCTTCCTTCTAGGAATGTAGCAAGCCCTTAGCAACAGGAGGCTGTCTTAAGACCTAGGACCTATGAAAAGGTCATGAGAGCAGTCTCTACATCTGTAAGGGCTGAATGAAGCTCACTCTCTATTCATTATTCATTTCTTGCGGGAACCGAAGTCCAGAGAACTGCTCAGAATTCCATGGCTAGCTGATAACTAAACCAGCACCTGAATTCAAGTTTCCCACACTCTGCCCAGTGCACTCTCTAATATTCTTCACAGCCCTCTTATGTGTACTTGTTAAGCAATAGTAATGCCAGCCCATTTTCATTTAATGTAATTACTGATATATTTGAGTTTTAATCCATCATCTTATTTCATGATTTCACTATGTCCAACCTCTTCTATGATTCTTTGTCTTTTGTTTTCTGACTCCTTTTGGATTGACTAAGATCTATTATTTTTTCTTATTTACTATTTTGGAAGATTTACACCAGTTACCTCTTCTTTCAGTGTTAAAAGCTTAGAAACTACTTTTTTAATATTTATTATTTTATTTTTAACCTTGCATTGTTAACTTATCTAAGTCTAGTATAAATATTGATCTTTATCACTGACCTATACAATTCAGAAACATAAGCACACTTTAACCCCATTTACCCGCATCCTAACTCATTTGCTATTGTTGTCAAAATTTTAAATTCTATATAATTTTAAAACTCCATAGATACTTTAATTGTTTTTTTGTTCTTCATATTTTTCTGTATCCCAAACTTTCCATCTGGATCATTTTTTAGAATTCTAACATACATCTTTTAGAATTTCCCAAACTCTCTCTTTTAAAAAAGTCTTCATTCATCTTTATTATTGAGTGCTCCCTCCCTCTCTCTCTCTCTCTCTCTCTCTCTCTATATATATATATATATATATATATATATATATATATATGAAATAGAATGCTAAGCAGGCTGTTGTTTTCTTTCTTCCTGTTGATGATTCCATTTTACTATCTTGTGACTTCCATTATTGATTTTCAGAAGTCAGCTGTCAATTTAACTTTACATCTTTGAAGGCATTGTGTCCTTTTCCCTATGGCTACTTTTAACGTATGGTATATATACAGTTCCGTTTCTTTGGCTTGCTATGGTTTTACTCTGATGTGTCTGGAAGTGCTGAGTGGATACAATGTGTAGAAACAATTAGGCTTCTTGAATCTATGGATTGATGTCTTTCATCAGTTCTGAATATTCTCAGTTATTATATCTTAAAAAATTATTACCTTTGGCTCTCTCTCTTCCTCAAGCATAAAACCTTCTTTAAACAAAAGTCTCCCTCTTGCTCTCTTCTTCAAACATAGCAAGGTGGTTTTATAGTTTGTGGCTAATGATTTCAACAGATATTAACTCCAGTGCTTATGAGCCTATTTTAATTTTCTGTTTTTTCTGCTGGTTCTTGCTCAATGTATTTTGTTTCCCTGTATGACTATTGATTTTTGATAGTGGTTGGACCTTGTACTTCAAAAATCATTTGTAAGAATAATTTGAGGCTTAGTATTATAGCATCTTCTTCCAAACAGGATTTTCATTTGCCTCTGCCAGACACCTGAGGTCCTACCAGTCTGGATCCATCTCAAACCAAGTTCAAGGCTGAGGTTCCTTGGACCACCCAGATAACATGAAGCCAGAAGGAAATTATGTGCAAGGATTGGTTTACTCATGATTCACCTTACCTGAAGCTGCAACTCTTTGGGACCCCAGTTTAAAGTGGAGGTAGTTTATTAGAATTTCTACCTCTGGTAGGTTGCATGTCTTGCCTTTTGCTCCCTGGCCCCAGAAATTTGTCGAAAGTATAGCTCAGTTTTGCAGCTGTTTCTTTAGGACTGGCAAATGCTCTTAGGGAGAAATTAGATTTGAATATCAGTCCTGTCCTCTGAGTTCTTAACTTCCAGATTTTGGCTTTTAAGCTCCTCACTACTTGGTTAACATTTTGATGCTTTTAAGTAAATATTTTTAATATTTTATACAGTTTTTTAGGTTTCCTTAGTGGAAGGGTTGGTCTAAATTTCCTAGTCATCAATTATAGGGAGTAAAAGTTACAATTTATATATTCATCAGAGGAAAGAAAATTTTTCGTAGTCTTCTATCTCTACTTCATGCTTACCAGTTTGTTAGTTCCTATAAAGCACTTTACACATGCCAAGGATGTAATATATTCTGTAGAACCAAAATTACAATGTAGGACTCATCAAATCCTTTAAAAGAACCCAATCTGGTATGAAATAAAATAGTTCATAAAACAATTTGACTACTTCTGGCCTTTGAAATTCTGTATGATAAACTTGTGCCCCACCAACTCATAAGAATATAATGGAAGATCCAGTGATCCATATATAACATATGCACAAAATATATACTTATTGAGGGCACTTGATCTTCCCACTGAATGAAAATCTTTCCCCCTTACCTTGCCTCTTTCAGATATTTCCTCTATCCTTACCTTCTCAATGAAGCCTTCCCTAAACATCTCATTTGAAATTGAGAACTCCCCCCATTCCCACACTTCTTTTTTTTAAATATAAATTTATTTATTTATTTTTGGCTGTGTTGGGTCTTTGTTGCTGCGCGTGGGCTTTCTTTAGTTGTCGCAAAGGGGGCTACTCTTTCGTTGCAGTGGGTGGGCTTCTCATTGTGGTGGTTTCTCTTGTTGCAGAGCACAGGCTCCAGGTGTGTGGGCTTCAGTAGTTGTGGCACTCAGGCTCAGTAGTTGTGGTGCACGGGCTTAGTTGCTCTGCGGCATGTGGGATCTTTCCAGACCAGGGCTCGAACCTGCGTCCCCTGCAATGGCAGGCAGATTCTTAACCACTGTGCCACCAGGGAAGTCCCTATTCCTACACTTCTTAATCTCTTCTTGTCCTGTTCTTCTCTCCATCACCCTCCACCATATTACATACTATATATTATATATCCTGGCTCTATTTATCACTGCCTCTACAATCTTGATAAATCTGCTTAACCTCTCAATTCTTTGATTTTTATAGATGTAAAATTGAACTAAGAAAATTATCTCACCATTCTTCGTATGGATGTTTCACGGATGAGTATGGTGATAGATCAGAAAATGATTCTTAAAAAACTATTTAAAAAAATGAAAATTCTAGAACTGAAAATTGCAATATCCAAAAAAAAAATTTACTGGTTGTGCTTAACAGTAAATTAGAGAGAAAAGAAAAAAAATCAGTGCACTTTAAAAATAGTTCAATAGAAACGATCCAATATGAAGAACAGACAGAAGAGAGATTAAAAAAAAAATGAGCAGATCCACAGGGACCTGTGGACAGTATCAAAAGGTCTAATATATGTGCAATTGGAGTTTCTGAGGGAGAACAGAAAAAAAATGGTACAGCAAAGAATATTAAAAAAAAAAGAATAGATAAAAAATGTACAAATTTGGAGAATGAGATGAATTTATGGACTTAGGAAGGAGAGCAGACTTCTCACAGGATAGATTTAAAAACACACACACATGCCCAGGCCTATCGGAGTCAAACTGCTAAAAACCAAAGTTTAGGAGAAAAATCTTGAAGAACCCAAAGGATTTTGTTACAGACTCATTCCACACCAAGTAAAATACTGCAGCTAACGTTTAGTGGACTTGGAGTACTGAGAGGAATATTTCAGGGGAGGAGAAATTGCTGCTTTTCTCTACAGCACATCCTTTATGTGAGAAGTTCATTGACGATGAGTGCCAGGTAGGATGGAGGTTGGTGGCTGGAAAAGAGATTAGCAGCCCTTCATTTCGATTTTGGTTGGGTAAGGTCTTCTGGAGGGAGCAGGATGCTGCAGGCTCTCTGGAAGACATAAAGATTTTGACCCAAATGACTCTAAAATCAGGGAAAGAGAAGTGAGATCCTCATGGTAAACTTGTGAATGGTCTGAACAGAAAGTCTAGAGCTTCTTGGAGCCAGGGGAATTTTTGAAGTGGAGTTAGAGAAAAGAAATTTGGGGGAAATGGGAAAGACCCAGAAGATTTTGATTATTTGACAGCATTTGTTCCCTTAGCGTGATTTTCTTCCTTTCTCTCACAATTTAGTCTAACCCTTCTTGGGGCGGGTAGGTCTCATGAGCAAGCGCTTTGAAAATACGAAGGCAGATTCCTTCCTTTCCCTTCCACAAATAAATCATGCAGTTCTGGAAGTAGCTGTAGAGAAATCAGTTTTCTGGGGCAGAATTTTGGCCCTGTTTTGGCAAATGTGGCCCCTTTAGTTCATGAAGGATGATTTTAATGACCGAAAACAAATAAGACCCCCAAATGTAAACCCAAGGTTTGCTGCTTGTTATAATTGTATTTTCCATACTAGACTGGAAATAAAGTCATGGTGTTTTTGTTTGTAATGTAAGCCTCTTTTTCTCTTTTTGTTCCCCTTTTCCGGTCCTATCGGCCATCCCTCACTGTCTCTGTGCTTTAGGATCAATATCCCTGAGGGAAGGGAGGAATAGGTGAAGTTCAAGAAATAGCTGAAGGCGGGTTGCCTGATGTGGAGGCAAGGACCCAGTGTCGGTCCCGGGGCTGTGCATGGCGGGGAAGGTGCATCTCCGCAGCGTCGTGGCAAGTCTTCCAGACCTGTCTGCAGCTCTTCCTGTAACCAAGAGGCCTTTTCCTGTGTTTGAACTCACCACCAATGGCTGTCCTACCAAAGGTAAACAGCTGCTCTTTTTCCAAAAGAAAGCTTTTAACTTTTCTTCTGGAGGAGACAGAAGAGGGTTGTTTGAGGACTGGGCGGAGGAGGAGCATCGGGCGGGGAGGTGGGGGTGGTGGTGAGACCAGAGGAAGCCCAAGTGACCCCAAGCCCTGCCCTGCCTGTTTTTCTTTGTTTCTTCCTTTCTTCCTCCCTTTCTTTCTTTCTTTCTTTCTTTATTTCTCTCTCTCTCTCTCTTTCTTTCTCTCTCTCTCTCTCTCTCGCTCGCTCACTCGCTCTTTCTTTCTTTCTCTCTCTCTCTTTCTTTCTCTCCTCTCTCTCTCTCTTTTCCTTTCTTTCTCTCTCTCTCTCTCTTTCTTTCTCTTTCTTTCCTTCTTTCCTTCTTTCTTTTTTCTCTTCACCTCCCTCATTATTTTTGGCTAGCTCCTTTGTGCAGGCCGCCTTCTGTTCACCGACAGCTGCTTTGAGCGTCCGTCAGAGCAGCTCATCTGCCAGGCTGTGCGCCTCTGGTCACATCGCTCTGAGGCCTCCTGTTTGTCAGCTTCAAAGTGCCTCACAAGTGGTGACTTGCCTCCTTCCGGGTGGATGTCAAAAGAAGGGGAAGCCTGGACATACTCATGACACCGCTGGAATTAAGGCTGGAAGCTTCTATCTCATTTTGCAGAAGAAGCAATCAGGACCAAAGAAGAGCGGTTGAAAACCACTGCCGGGCCTTGTGGCCAGTAAGTGGAAGAACGGGGGGCCCAGGTCTGCTCGCGTTTAGTTCCAAGGGGTTCTTGCCAGGCCTCCCATTTAGAACTGTGTTTCTCAGGCAGTCAGCCTGCCTCAAAAGCACCTCAGTGATGATGACATCTGAGAGGGGATGGGGGAAGGGAGGAGAATACTTACTGGATGGAACTCCACCCTCCTCCTTCAATGGAGTCTCTTCTCTTTGGTCTCATCCACTCATTCACTCATTCATTCATTTAACAAATGTCTGTTGAGCAGCTTCCATGTGCCAGTGACTTCCAGACACTGGAGATACAGCAAGGAACCAGCGAAGCCTGGGTTCCCACGAAACTTATATTCTGTTTTCTGTATTAGTTTCTAAGTAAGATTACTTTTTGGTCAAAGGGTTCTGTCCATTTTTTTTTTCTTTTAAAGCAAATAAAATCTTTCCAATATCTAGCTTTCGAAGCATTAACTGGTACCTATCAAACACTCACAACATTAAGTAGAGATTTTGCCACTACATAAAACAAATCAGCTGCTGATCTTCCAGACTCTGACAGTTTAAAATCTATCAAAAAAAGACACCTAAAAAGAAAACTTGCCCAAGACAGTATCACTCACTGACAAATGTGGGAGTGAAATAAAGAAACAAATTGATGGTATAGATGTTGAGCTGAACTCTTATAGTCCATTATATTGGTACCAGGGGTCACTAGTACATTCTCTTCTCAAGAATTCCATGTAGAATAGGATAAGCATGTGATCCTTTAAAGTTGACCCCCTTTGTTTGGTGGTGAGTGGAGGTGGATGTAATAGTTAACAGCCTTGTTGAGTTTCAGAGTCAAACTGTGATTGCCACCAGCAAATATTCCTACCTGGGAGTTTTGGTTTGAAAAGGTTAAGGCCAAAAGTCGTAAACTAAGCAGGCTTCCTGATGCTAATGTATTAATTATCTTTTGGGGTATAACAAATTACTCCAAAGCCTAGTGGCTTAAAAAAACAAACGTTTATTATCTCACAGTTTCTACGGGTCAGGAGTTGAGGGACAGCTTAGCTAGGTGGTTTGGCTTAGGATCTCTGGTGAGGTTGCCGTCGGAATGTGGCAGGGCCTTCAGTCATCTGAAGGCTCGATTGGACTGGATGATCCATTGCTGAGATCACAGCAGGAGGCCTCCGTCCCTGTCCATGTGGCCCTTTCCACAGGTTGCTTAAGGGTCTTCATGGCATGGCAGCTGACCTCCCCCAGAGCAAGTAATCTGAGAGTGAGGGAAAAGAAAGCCTTAGTACCTTTTGTGCCCTGGTCTCCTAAGTCACTCCACATCACTTCTGCCTTATTCTAGTGTCGGGAACAAATCACGAAGTCTAAGTGGTTAGAATTAGACTCTGTCTTTCAAAGAGAAGAGTAAAGAATCTGTGGGCATAGTTTAAAACCGTCAAATTTAGACTCCCTTCAGATTTAAATTTTACTTTTTCATGTAGATCTTAAACAAATCACATTTCATTTGTGAATACTTCACTGTATATTTAAAAAGCAAACCACCACACCATTATCACACCCCAAATGATGAATAATAATTCCTTAATTTCTTTTAAAAATAGTCTCTTTTCAATTCTAAAATTTTAAAATCAAGAAATTCCACGTTAGAAGTTCAGATGTTCAGCTTATTTTTTAAAAAATAAGATGGTCTGGGTCACACTAGGCCTATGTTCTCACATGGTCACAAACAACTCTAGGTGGGATATGAACTCTTCGATTTGCCTTGATCCCCACCACACCCTATTGCATTACACATGGGGCACTGGTTAAGTGAACCTGCTTGGTTCATTTAACATTTGAGTTTACCCCTGGTCTAGGTCCAAGGAGGCTGAAACGTGTGGCAATGGGGTTGAAGAAGGGGGTAGCTTGACCCCTGGTGTGAGTTGGATCCGAGAAGATTAGGAAAGAAGACAGGTTGCAGCAACCTTGGGTCTCATCTATGTAGGGTTGTAAAGATGACAAGGATAACCATAGAGATCTGGTCAATATGGCCTCGGAAGTTTGGGTGGACGTTCCTGTGACTGCACTTGGCACTGAGGGTGTAGAGGCACGAGCAGAGCCAGCCACCTCTGAGGGGACCATGAATCAGCCAACATGGATCAAGCCTCAGTGCTATTTTCTTAGGGCTGTGAAAGTCCTGGGTCTGGTACAACCTAAGGAAGAGTGTGAGAGTCATGAAAAATAATGATATAGAACTGTTAGCCAACTTTACCAAGGAGGGGGAACTTTAATCACACTTCATGTAATGTATAAAAATAAAGTTATTTCTTGCCTCTTGTGTGTCACTGAAACATAGGGTCTTAGGGTGCTTGGAGAGAGCCTGTAAGTAGAAGAAAAGGCCTTTATGACCACTCTGGAGGAAGACTGTGGAAAAATGAGCCCTACTGAATAATGGAAGTGAGTACTGGAGGAGGATGCTTGCTCACCTCTGGCCTGACAAGAAACCCACAGGTGCTTTTTAATACAACTACTGCCATTCCCCAACTTAAAAATCCTCATTTGCTTCTATCAGATATTTGGAGCTCAGAATACATTTTCCTGTAGAAACCATGTGTTCCTTGGTGATTAAGTCCACAGGCCAGTTCTTAAGATTTAGTCCTGTAACTAAATCATAACCCTATCCATCTACCACATCTAACAGACTTTCCTTAGAGAATTTCAGCCCGGGTCCTAACATGGAATACCTAGAGTACATTTTCCCCAACCCTACTAGTTCAAACCCTGAGTTCCGCTCTATCCCTCAGACTCATCCCTCCTGGGCCAGCTTTGAGAACGCTACCAGCTTTTCAGGAGCAGCATGGGTGTGTGCTGGAGAAAAGGGAGCTCTGTTGGGTGAGTATTAAGAAATGCAGGCACAGGATACACGTGAGGACGGTGACAGTAAGGCAAGCCGACCAAGAGGCTAGGGTGGAGCAAAGGCGGGTAGGTACTCAGGTTTGGAATCTCTGGAGATTGGGGGTGGGGGTGGGTACATGGTAGAAGGTGCTGCTGTTCAAAAGTGTGACTCTTTCATGAGCCAGCTGTTTGCGTGCCAGGCACTGCCTATATTCACTCTCCAGTAAACCCTTGCCACAGAGTGTATGAGGGTGGCGCTCAGACTTTACCACCCACGACCGCTCTAGGCACCAACATGTCCACCTGCAGCTCCTGACGGCCCTTCTCGACACAACCAGATTTAGGCTGGACTTTACAACTCTTCATCTGCTTCCACTCTTGCCCCTCCACAAGCCATTCTTTGCACAGTGAGCAACACAGGCTTTCTGAAATGCAAATCTGATCATGTCCTTCTTCTGTGTAAAATCTTTAATGATTTCCCAACCATCTTAGGATCAAGTTCAGAATCTGAACTCGGACCCCCCAGCTGCCCGTTGCAGGAGCTGCTGCCTCCCCTCCTTGCCTGGCACATGCCTGCTCATTCTTCAGGTCTCAGTTTATGTTTCATTTTCTTAAGAAGACTTTCCCTGACCTTTTGTACAGGTTTGGTACCTGACTACACGCTCTCCTAACTCTTAGGTTTCCTTCTCAGAGCAGTGACTGCAATTGTAATTGTTCAGATACCCAAGCATGATTTATTTAATTGAAAGTGTCTCTCTCTGCCAGGAAGTAAAATTCATAAGTGCCTTGCCCACTCCTAGCATGGAGCCGTCTGGTCCATGAGACATGCTCACTAAATGGTCGCAGAATGCGCCTCTGTGCTGTACATTTTTACCTTTTATATTATACAGCATGTTCTCCAATTCTAGGGACCAGTTTTTACTGTGTGACAGGCAGTGTTTGTTAGCTTTTGGTTGAAATAGAGCTCTGAGCCAGAATTCCCTGGGTTTGGAATCTTACTAATTGTGTGATACTGGGAAGTAGTGTAACGTCTCCATGCTTCAGTTTCCTCATCTGTTAAAAAAGAGGAGGAGATAAAGGGCAACAATAGCACCTACTTCAGAGGACTGTGGTGACGATTAAATAAGTTGTGACATGTAGTATGTTTAGAACAGTGCCTCACACATGGTAAGTGTATGAAAGATTTTAGCTCCTCTTCTTCTTTACTCCTAAGAATATGAAAAATAGGTGTTATGTTATTATCCCCACTTGTCAGATGAGGAAACTAGATGCATAAAACAGGCTTTCTTTAGTAACTTGTTTATAATCCTTCATATCATTTTTTCATGCTAAAAAAAAAAACTAAAAAGAAAGAAAGAAATGAATGTTCTCACGTTTTGGGAGTTGGGACTTGGAGGATATTAGGGCCTGGCAAGATGAAGAGAATAAATCAAAGAAACAAAGGAAGTTTCAAAGCTGTTTCAGGCCCAGGACTTGGCCCTCTCCTTGCACGTTAGTCTAATGCGTGAGAAGCCTACACGAGGGAGGGGAGACCCAACTGGCACAGAGTCTGGAAGGGAGTTGGCGAGTCCATGGAGAGTGACTCAGAGCAGCAGGGACCAGCATCTCCAGGTCATAGCAGGAAGTGAGAGCCGTGGCTCCCAATCCGTTCTGAAACGACTCAGGAACTCTGCCAGGGTCTCCAAAGGCATCACCATGTCCTCAAACCAAATCCACTTGAATTAAAGAAAAAAAAAAACTATGCCATGCGTCCCATGTGAGAGGAAGTAGGTGCAAAGAAACCAAACAAAAGGTTGTGAATCACTGGAGTGGACAATCTTCCTGGAGAGAGGGGAGTCCTGCACCAGGCTTTAAAAAGACATCTGGCAGCGACAGGAATATTCCTGGCAGCCTGTTGTTAATGGCCCCGAAATAGAAACAACCCAAATATCATCTTCAGTAGAGTGGATATGTAAATTGTGGTACAGTCACAGAATGAAGTATTCTCCAGCGATGACAGTGATTGAACCATAAGTACACTCAACAGTAGGGGCGAATCTCACAAACATAACACAAAACAGAAAGTACAATTTGCTGCCATTTGTTATGTAAACCAGGTAATATCATCTACGTCAGGTTCGAGAATTTAGGGCCATGTGACCCTTGAGGAGAGGTAGAAGGCTGGAGGGCCACAGGGTGTCTCCTCTTAGGTTTCTGTTATTCAGATGTGTTGGTTTTATAAAAATTCACTGATGTATACACTTACTTTTTTGTGCACTGCTCTGAACATATGTTATATTTCAATTCATTCTTCACTTCCCCGCCCTCCATGGCCAGGGGTCAAATTAGTCCTGGGTGAACACATAGCCCTAGAGCTCTGGATATTCAGAAGTGGGAGACGTACCGTTTAGGATGCTTCAGAAGTGGGAAGCGTTCTGAGTAGAGCTAATGTTTCTGCAGTGCTGGTTCTGAGTCTTGGGTCACTGCTTTTGCCTCACTGAATTTTAACCTTGGTGTTTCTCCTTGTCCCCTGATCTTGTAGCCCTCTCTTTCTAATCAAATGATCTCTATAATATCGAGTGCAATGTGGAGCTCACCTGTTGGGTCAGAGGCCCGGCCATAGTCCAATTCTACACGAGCCTTTCCTCAGTTGTCTGCAGTACAAACATCCATTCCCTTCACTTTCCTTCAGAATCTGAATAAATCCTGAGATGGCTGGAGAGGAAGCTTCACCAGCCTGAGTGACCTGATGAGAAATCTCTCCCGTGAAACCTGATGGGAGGGACTTAGGAATTTCAGCTTCTAGACACCCAGTGGGTGATTTTACAAGTAGTAGGGGATCATCTTCGTATGATTGGCAGAGCAGGGAAAGAGGGAGAAGCCCGTTCTATGCATCTCACAGGAGGGTTACAACGAGCTCTATGAATGGAACAGCTGGGCACAGGCAGGGCTGAGAATCCCTTTTGAAAAACCGTGGCTGACTTACCTAAGACCCATGCTGCTTCCCAGTATTTTGAAAACACTAGAAATCACCTTCCAGCTTTTCCAGAGGTGAAGTCACAAGCTCCCAGCGGGATGCAGCTCCCCGACATCAAAGCCGTCCAGCTCGGATGGCACATGTCCCCATCCAGGCTGTCCTTGGGCGGGTCCGCTGGCTTGGAGAAAACAACACGCCTCAACGTGACAGTCCCCACATTCTGCAGACTTGAAAGGGAAATCCTCTGGATTCTGACTGGGCTCCTGGGGCTCAGCCCTGGCTCTGCCCCGAGGCTGCAAGAGGAATACGAACAAGGAAAGGGCTGCGTGTTGCTGTCATCGCTTCTCCAGGTGATCAGACACGTTTGCAGCCCAATCTTCTTTGGTCTTCACGTCCCCTCTTTGCCTCCGCTGACTGGTGCCTCAGACACCCAGCCCAGCATTTCCCCCCTTCTCCTCACTCACCCTCACCTCCCTCCCACCTACTTCCACTTTTTATTGTACATTTCAGCAGAGCGCTTCTTAAACCTCACAGTTACTCAAAGGTTTGCCCCCAGTATCGCTGTTGTTCTACAAGAATCGATTCCTATCCCTCCCCGAAGCCATTCTTTTATGGTGTTCTCTTGCTTTCGCAGATTTTCATTTTCGTGTTCTTTTCCATTTCTACAAAGGCAGGTTATAGAGGAAGGCCAGCAGAGGGCAAAGAGCACCGGAGCTGAATCAGGAGAGAGATGAGCATTTTGGTTTTAGTCACTGTGTGTGTGACTTCGGGCAAACAGTACAGAGTCTTCTCTGGGCGTTAGTTTTTTCATCTGTAGATGGGGTTGGATCACCCATGGCAGAAATCCAATGCCATGTGTTGTGCCAGTATTGGTGCCACGGGAATGCAAAGAATAAGACTGTTCTGGCTCTTACAAACTTACCGAATGACATTATATTCTCTATGATACACACACAGACACATACATATGCATACACACACATATTCAGGTAGAGAGATAAATTGATAGATAACTACTGGTGGAAGAAAACTGGATAAATGAATGATCTTATAGTCCATTGAATCCCATAACAGTCTTACAGAGAGACTGAATCAGAATCATTCTTTTCCCGAACTCCCTTGACTTGCACCTCGTGCTCAGGTGTGACTCTCCACCCCGTTTTTTCATAATTGGTTGAAATAAGGAAGTACTTCAAGTTGTTTCTTCTTTTGCTGCCACAAAGATCTGCATAACTGCTGGTTCCTGTTCGTGGTGAAAAATGGTCTTAACCAGATGAATGAAGGGCATAAGACACAACAACACAAATCAGAGAAGTTTAAACCATGCTTATTCCTAAGCGAAACAAACCCTAAACAGAGCTCATGCCTGCCCACTGAACTCCTAGGGCCGCTAACTTGGTAAAGGATATTCCCTCCATTTTCTAGCTCTTTGTATTCAACCTCCCTATCCGTTTTCAAAAACTGTGGCTCATAGCACAGGGAGATCAGCTTGGTGCTTTGTGTCCACCCAGAGGGGTGGGATAGGGAGGGTGGGAGGGAGGGAGACGCAAGAGGGAGGAGATATGGGGATGTATGTATATGTATAGCTGATTCACTTTGTTATAAAGCAGAAACTAACTGTAAAGCAATTATACTCCAATAAAGATGTTAAAAATAAATAAAATAAAAATAAATGTTAAAAAATCTACATATTGCTGAAAAACCCCACAAACTGTGGCTGACTTATCTAAGACCTGTGCAATATTTAGAAAACAAATTAGAAATCACCTTCCAGTTTTTCCAGAGGGGACCAAATCCAAGAAACATTAAGAATGTAAAGGATAGGACAATGTAAACAACAGTTCTGAGATAACTATGTCCAACAGCAGTGTGGCAAGTTGTTTTTTTTTTTTTTTTTCTTTTTCATCCACCAGCAGAGATGGAAGCTTGCTTTAGTCTATTGTCTTGGTCCGTGGCAGGGACCAGTGCATAAATCTGTTATTTGATCTGGGAAGAACTATAAGGCTCTAGAGTCAGGCTGAAGAACTGCAGCAACGCTAGTGTTTCAAAGAGCCTAGGAAGAGCCATGCATTCTGGCTGACCTGCACGCTGCCTGGCCTCACAGGCTGCCGCTTTGCCTCAGTTAGCATGACAGACCAAACTTTCCCTTGCTCAGAGTGGACAAGACATGATTTGTTCCCCTTTGGCTGTGTCAGTTCTGCAAACTAGATACCAGAGGCTGCAAGCTCAGGAGAGCCTGACTTTCTGGAACACCATTTGTTTGGACAGGCCAAGCCAGTAAGGCTTTTCATCTCTTTAAAGCTCCCAGGGCAGAGAGCATATTTGAGGAATTCCTTTTTTCAAAGTTTTTTTTTTTTTTTTTTGCCCCTTCCAACATTTTGTTTAAGAGAAAATGAGATGTCTATCTTCTGTTTCCTTATTTTTTTTCAGGAAAGCAAAGGGTTGTTGACTTCCTCCCTCTCCCCTCCCTTCCTTCCTTCTTCCCGAAGGTACTCATCTGAGAAAAAGAGAACGAAGTATTGTTCCTGTTCTCTTTCTTAAGTCATTTGAACACTGTCCCTGCGAGTTCTTTAAGTTCCCTGCAATCTGTACACAAGACAAGGAGGGAGAGAGAGAGGGAGAGAGACAGAGAGGCAAGGGATCAGGTAAAGCACGGGGGCTGCTGCAGCCATTGAGACTCAGGAGCTGGTAAGTTACCCATGCAATCCTTTCTACCTCCATTTCACTGTCCCTGGGATGGATATTGCTGTGGGCATCTTCAACAGAAAATGCTTTACTGGGTGTAATCCTTAATCAAAGCGTACAACTGAAGGATGGCCCAGCATTTAAGCTTATATATTTTTTTAAGAGAATACTGATGTTTTGCAGAGCTGAGGCTGGCAGAACTGGGCACAGAATTGCACTGGGCTAAGGAGGACATTGTGTTAAATCTGAATTTTGGCACAGATAAGATGGCCGGGCTAACCAGGAGCCACTGGAGTATGTGATGTGTCTCACTGGGGAATTCACTCTTCCTCAGCGCTGTGTCCTGAGAACCTTATCAGGGTGTCTGCTAAGAACTGAGGTCTGCTGTGGGGATTTTGTTACCCATTGTCTAGATTGAGGTGCCTTCTCTTGTTCCTTTCTTTTCATTCAGCATCCCCCGCAAAGAGAACTGTTAATTTATGATTGTTATTCTGCATCACTGAGGTAGGAGGAAAGAAAGAAGGGAATGTCACTTCGAATTGTACTTCATGGCGGTGGGGGGCTTATGTGTTCAGGTTCCACATGTGGGTTGAATGTAAATTTATTATCCACTGTCAGTGGAAGATGTCATCTGCCACACAAAAGAAGTCAAAGATTTTGGGGCATGTAGCTTTAGTTTTGGAAAACAACATGCCACTAACAGGAAGATTGAGATTGATCTCTTGTGATCAGGAGTGAAAAACCAAGCTAAATGTTGAAAAATACTTACCCCGCGCCTGGCTTTCGAAGCACCAAATAGAATACAGCAAACTAGTCAAGATTACACACACAGCTAGTTTTTAAAAATCTAACTTACTTCAATTAAATTTGGCAGAAAGTATAATGTTTTGAAGAACTCATCATGGCAAGCCACAAGGAAGCCAAGATCACATTGTCAGAAACAGGCCAGCAAGGTCACTCTGAAAGACCGTGTATATTTACTAATATTAATCATTCAACTCAGAGAGGTGTTGAATGGGTGAAAGACAAAGGACAGGCAGAGGTTTTTTCATATATTCATTTCTATGAAATTTACTGATTGAAGTCATCTGGGATGTGAAGAGTGTGATAAAAATAGCTGTTCTCTCATTTATAAATTAACTTGGCCAGACTATGCATTAACCACAATCAAGTAATTAATCTTTATTCGAAACCGAGCCATCATCTTAATAAGAATAAGAAAATATGATAGAACTGGACTGTTATGTGGGTTTTGTTCCATTAGTCAGACTTCTTTTTTCTTCTCCTTTTTTTCAAGAGGCTTTCCTTAGGAGCACTATAAAACGAGCAATGGAAGAGAGATGTGATTAGCGTTTGCCTGCTGAGGAGGCAAAATCATGCTAATAACAGTTGAAAGTGTTCTCCAGCTCCCCTACCACTTACCCAGCCACCCCATCGCATAGATCTTCAGGTCAAAAGGGAGCCGGGACTGATCAGCTTGGGCACTTCTTTTATTTTGCATCTTTTATCAGCAAATGTGACCCCAGTAGAAAACTTAGGGCTGCGAGTTTTCTTGCTTCTTTCAGTTTCATTTTTCCTTGATAATGTATTTGATTTTACGTCCAATTAGAACAACATCAGAGAACACTCTCTCGTTCGGGTTATTGAATAAAAGCATCAGATGCAACACAGTATGAAAAAAAGGACAGCAGAGTCACACTGACCAAAGACAAGTAAGGCAAAAGGTGGGTATGCCAATGGTGCAGAAAACAGCCTCGAGCGTGTGTCTCCACTATGGCCCAAGATTAAGGAGCTCAGGATAGATTCTTTTCTTTAAAAGAAAAAAATATATATTCAGTATTTCCATTTGAGTCGTTAAGTCATTGCCATGAGAATATTTGTTGGATACTGGGGGGAAAAAATCAGCTCCCTAAAGAAGAAAGCCGTTGACTCGTTTAGGCTA